GTCGAGCCGTCAACCGAACCGGGGTCACCGTTTCCGCGATCGGTGTTGTTCTTGCTTTGGATTTTTCTTCTATCGTCTTTTACCAAGAGTTCTATTATAAATAATTATTACTTTTTATACTAATTATTATTATTTTTCTTTCCCTATATATTATTTATTTAAAATAATCACAAATGTGAAATGATAAATTATTAATAAATGTTTATACGATTTTTTTTTTCGGATCGTAGATTTTTTTGTTATTTAAACTTTCAGTCGATGAAATACATCGATGAGGATAATTTGAAAATTTAACAACACATACGTATGAATGGGAATATGTGTATATATGTGTATATGTTATATTTATATAGATATATTTGCGTTAAACGCAGCGTAACGTTATTTTAACGCATCGTTGCCAAACGAAGGAAGACTCTTATCGTTCCTGGACCATGCACCATCCAAACACTCCATCCCTCCTCTTTTTCCAACTACCCTCCTTTCCACTTCAACCCCCTATTCTCTCTCTCTCTCTCTCTCTCTTTAGTTCGTACATTCGTTTTTTGGCATTGGCTTGCATGGCTCGTAATTTCGCGATATTATATAGCTCGATGAGTCACGAACTAGTGAATCTTTCGTTAATTTAATCGATTCGTAGACTAGAAAGAGAAAGAGAAAGAGAGAGAGAGAGAGAGAGAGAGAGAGTGTTATGTATATAGATCTCACGTATTATTGATTTTAACAACAATAGAATAGAATGGATTAGCTTGCTTACGTATACGATTTCTATTTTATATTACAAATACATTAAATATTGCATAACAAAATTGTATGAATTATTTATTACTCGTATTAATTTTTTTATTTTATTTATATTATTATATTATTATATATAATGAGTTTTTAATTGAGTTTGAATCTTTGATATGTTGGTTTTGGATATTTTGAATAAAAAACATGGTTTTCTTTCTATATACTATACTATATTGTATATAGTAGGTATACTATATACTATACTATATACGATACTATACGATACTATACTATACTATACTATATATATATATATATATGTAATATATAATATTAATATATGTAATTAATTAAATTTAATATTTTATTAACCCCCTAAGGAACAATTTTGGCTCAACGTAATACAACGCCGCTCGAGTTAACTCGAGCGTGCAAATTAAGGGGTTAATATATATAATTTAATTAATATGATTAAATTAGTTATAAATTATATAATATAATAAATATTAGTATTATATATATATACATAAATAATTAATTTGAACGCATTAACGAATAAACGAGAACGTTTCCAAAATCGTGGTAGCTCTTTTTCCGGTTGTTGCATTACAACGGAAAGAAACTGCTGAGTATGCAGATAAAAAAAAAAATAAACGTACAAAGTAGTGGTTAACTTCTGTAAAGAAATATTTTTCCTAATATCTAAAAGATAAAGAGAAAAAGAAAATGTTTAAAAATAGATTACAACACACAAAATATATTGAATATGAAAATACGTTAGATTAATATAGAAAAGAAAATTATTTGGTAAATTCGACAATTTTCGTTCTCGTTGAGTAAGAGAAGAAGATGGGGAGGAGAGGGTGGAAGAGAGGGAGGAGGAGAGGGTCCAGGGCCGCGAGAAAGGAGGTAAAACCAACCTTCGAGCGGAACGACTTTCAGAGTTCGCACACAAGTAATGTACTTTCACATTTGCAAGAGAGCGAGAAGCATTGAATCGCTGAAAACTCGTTTCGTATCGCCGGAAGGAAAGAAAAAAGAAAAAAATAAAAAATATAAATAAAAAACACAAGAAAAGAGGGGTTGGACCCGTAGAAAAGATGGATTGAGAATAACGGAGAGACGAGAAAAAATTAAACAACGAAAGGAAGAATATAGTAATAAAAATAAAACTAGAAAAAAAAAAAAGAAGAAAAATTTTTATAGGGTTTCCTCTGACCCTTATAGTACTCACACAACATTTATTAAAAAAAAATTCAATCGAGAAATTGGAAAATTAATTTTATTTAATTTATACGCTCTATATTTTCATCTTTATCTATCTTTTTTTCAATTAGATTTCTAAACACGTATCGTTTAAATGTTTAAACCTTCGACCATTACGAATAATTCAATGTCGAACGAACGATATTTTATCCGCTTTAAAATCATTTAAACTCCAATATATATATATTTGTTATATTTGTTAGGCATCTGTCAAGAAATTGCTTACGTTTCCTAGATCCACCTTACGATTTATTTTCAATACGGATTTATTTTCTTTACGGGATCTTTAAATTTGGTTATCAGATTTATTCTCAATTCATTTTTATAATGATTTGTTCATATATATATATATATATAGAGAAAACAAAATTTATGAAAGTTGATAGAAAGATGAAGGGAAGGAGATAAGGTTAAAACCTTTTATTGTTCAGGTATAGGTACTGTCATTGAGTAGAAAGCTCAAGATACGACAGCTGCTTCAGCCCAAGCACAACTAATCCCAGTACTTTGATATTAAAAGGGTGATATGTATTCTCGTTTTCTCACAGTACACCCGATGGACAAATCCGACCCACTGACACTTTGAAAATTCTATACCTGTCGTTTTCTCCCTCTCTCTCTCTCTCTCCCTCTCTCTCTCTCTCTTTCTTTCTTTCTTTCTTTCTTTCTTTATCTTTCTTTTTATCTGTATTTTTAAATGCTGCTATATAATTACCAAGCAGCGAGGCTTTAGAATTGTTCGAAGGCGAGATCGAAAGTCTAACGGATGTGCCCGAGTGACTTTGTGGGTCTAAAAACCGCAGTAGAACTTTGGTAATCATTTCTAATAACATTCTAACATATTTACGCATTACACTAATCATTATGGCTACGTGATACTTCAAATTTCATGTGAGATGGAAAAAATGAAATATAAACAAATTCTAAGAGGAGTTTGTTTGATGGAAACTAAATATGTCCATTGTAAAAATGAATGCACAAATTTTTCTCGTTTAAAATGCAATCGTAAATTTTGTATCGCTTCGTTTATTTTTTTTTTTTATTTTTTATTTTTTTTGCATGCGACGGTTCTCGAGTCTCTCATGAAAAATTGTCTGCCCGTTAAGCAAAAATAACAAAATAATGAAAAATAAAATAAAAGCGGAGTTTCGAGGGCAAGATGGCGTCGCAAGCAAAAACAAGCAAACAGATTTTTCCGAATACATATATCGAGGACGCTAACGTGCCAAGCAAAAGGGTGTGGAACGGTTTCTATTAATAATCGTGTTGCATCGTGTCCACAAGTCGGCCCGTCCAAGTTTTACGAACAGCCCGAATATTACCGACGAGCCAATGCAATTTCGTCACTATACAAATTCGTTTTATGCATGTATACCTTTCTATGTGTGTGTGCATCTGTAACGCGGCTAAGTTACATTCACCTGGCTTCCTTGTAAAAAAGAAAAAAAAAAGAAAACCGAAAAATGTTAGCCTCGATCAATCTTGCAAAAAAAAAAATGGAAAAACGAAATTGTTCGATTTCAAATTGATTTGAAGAATATTTTCCATTGACAATTTTTTCCCAACCGTTTCATTCATATAAAGCGAAAGTAAAGCTCTTGGCCAGTCTTTTATTGTCATCAGTGAAAAGGGCTTTACGCCATAAGGGTGAGAAAGAACATAATTTCTTAGTCGAAAATATACCCTTAACAAACCATCAGGACCCCTCTCTTAGTCCCTTTAGTCCCTTGGTAACGTTACATCCTGTACCTACTATAAATTTTTATTTAGGATTGACAAAAGATAAAATAAAAAAGAACGAGAAAGAGAGCGGAAAGAAAATAGTTAAAGCATCGTGGAAATTCTGTCTACTTTGTCATTATCGAACACGTTTTTTAAATGGTTGCTGGTTTTTTAATTTTTCCAAATCTAAATCTATTATCTATCAGTATCTAAATATATTAGTTATTCGTACATACGTAAAAAGTAAATAAAAGTATGCACATGAAAATATGTCAAACAATTCGTTGATAACGTTACGAATCATCAAATAAAATATTTCAATTCGAATTTATAACATCAGCGCGAAAATTGCCGCCCCCTTTGACTGGACCAGTGACGTTACAGTTATAACCAGGTTCGTAAGTAGTATACGCAGTGCCCCTCGAGTATCATTTTTGCAAGCTGCACTGTATCCTTCAATCTCTTCCTTTCTCTTTGACTTTTCGAAAAATACAATAAAATATATTGGTTGCAATCCGAATGCACTCGAATTTAAATGTTTATTCATCATTCTGTTTTTCTCTTTCTTTTTCTCTCCCTTTGTTCTTTTTTTTTGCTCTCAATCACAGCGAGAGCAACCCATACGACCTGGAAATTGCGAAAAAGCGAGCTTTCGTATCCCTTTTTAGACGACACGAGTGCTACAAACGAAGATCCGGTTTCACTTGGCTTCGAGACAAGAGAGACAGAAAGAGAAAGAATGAATAAGAAAAAGAAAGAAAGAAATAAATAGATGCAAAGCTTTCCGATTACAATGATCTAGATGACCGATCGTGTATCCCTGGTTTTTTTAGGCTCGACTCTTTCTCTGTTTTTCAAATATCTCTTTTCTTTTTTTAGTTCGAAAGATATTGTTTACGTTAACTACTTGCACAAGGAAAAGAAATGGAAAGAGAGAAAGAAAGAGAGATTGAAAATAAAAAAGTTGAGTAAGTGGACTTATTTACTTCACTTGGTTTAATGCTATTTTTATGATTTACAGAAAAACACTATACCCAAGTTATTAATACATTATCATCTCTCTTTCTCTCTTCAATGAAAAATATATACATAGATATATAGAGAGGTATTCAAATCTTCTATCTTTCTCTTTTCCCCCTTTCTTGAACACTCCCAAATAAATGGCGCCAGGAAAGCGAATGTATACGAAGATGCACGAATATATTTTGTTTGTCATTGGTTTGGTCCATCCGCGTGCGTTTATAACCACTCTATATTTCATGGACGTTCTACTGTATTATTTTCAGGGGCAAATCCAAGGAGTGACTTCACTTTAAAGGCAGCAAGCGTTTGATCTCTCGAGGGAAAGCCAACGAAGTCAAAGTGAAATTACCTTGTCGTCGATCGGTGACGCATATCGACCGATAACCGAACGATAACCGAACGAACAAACCGATAGTCCATTGATTTCAACGCAACTTTCTTTTTAAATAACACAAAGAAAATCTCATTTACTAAATTTTGAAGAAATTTTCGAAAGCAATCGCACAATAAAGTGATTCAATTTTAAAAACTTTTCCAAGCGTGAATGATTTATTTACGCCTATAGATCAATCATTCAAGTAAACTTTTTACAAAGAATAAAATAAAGCTTTGCGGGATGTCTCAAATCCGAAAGTTGTCCATGTCTTTTGCATAACTAATTTGGTTTTTTCAGGAATAAAACAAAAAATGAAAAGACGTAAACAAAAGAAAATAAAAAAAAAAAGTACGAATATCAGAGAAATTCGCGATAGATACGTACCTGATAAATTGATGAGTGGTGTGCACGCAGCAGAAGATTCGCGGACCCGATTAACGGCGAAAGCTAACGAAAATTGCCGAATGTCGCGCAATTCTCGGCTAGTGCCAGTCTACACCGAGCGACTTCCCGGTCAACGTCGCGTTCGCGAGTGGTAAGAAAACGAAGGGAAAAAGGAAAGAAGAAGATAAAAAAGAGAAGGATAAGAATTAATAATTTGTAAAAAAGGTGTAAAGCAACAATTAAAAACGATATATCGATAATAATCAAATGAAATCAAGTGAATAAGTGAAACGTATGCAGTTTACAAAAGTGAAAAGAAAAGCATAAAGTAATCAATGTATGGTTTATGTCGAATCATTAATTATAAGAATAGAATCGTTTTGGATATCGGTTTGTACTATTCGAATAAATGTTAATAAATTAGCAAAGACGATAGCGTGTGCGACTGCGTGTGTATAATAATGTACGCGTACGTGTATTAAGAAGGAGAAATCGTCGACTCGCGTCTTTTTCTCTATTACAAAACTTATTCTGAAAAAGAGAGGTTAGGAATATAATATTATGAACGTGAGAAGAACGGTTAAGTGTTGTGTGAGAAAGTGGAGAAAAGTGTGAGGACGAGAGAAGAGGTGGATACGACGGTGGCGGTCGAGGAGGAGGAGGAAGAAGAAGAAGAAGAAGAAGAAAACGAAGACGAAAACGAAGACGAGAGAGAGAGACAGACTAACAACAGGGACGAGGAGGAAGAAAAAAAGGAGAAAAAACGTTTTGATAGTGGTCGGTGACACAGAGAATAAGAAGAATAAAAATTAAAAGGAACTGTGCATTAAACATAACGTTGGTAGTTCTAACAGCACTAACAATTTGATTAATAGTAGAAATAATAATAATAGTTGATGCAAGTATAATACTACCAATATAATAGTTCAAAAATATGTCGGTGTGCGTTGTTTATCGTACGTGGCATTAAGTCGCGCTGGCGAAAAGAGAAAAATTAAGAAAAAAAGCAGTTAAGCACCAATAATAATACATCTGTGTAACAAAAGCAGTAACACATCAGCAACAGCAGTAGCAAAAGAAGAAGAAGAAGAAGGCTAGTGGTGTTGTGTACCGTGTGCTGCTGCTATTATATGCGTGTGGCGGCTAAGCGTGCATCAGAAAGTACTTGGACACGCACTTTTCGTTGGTGTTGTGCATATATATATGTGTGTGTGCGCGTCGACCATATCTGTCTGTCTGTCTCTCTCTCTCTCTCTCTCTCTCTTGGTGTACACGTATAGGAGCAGCCGGGCAGGCGCATTATACTTGTGTTCAGCGTCTCTACATTACCTTTTGGTCAAAAAGAGATAGAGAATATTCCTCACCAGCAGCACACTAATATACCCTGATATATACAGTGCCTATCTCTTCTTCCTCCTCTCCCACCGCAGGCAGGCAGGCAGACAGCCACATCCACCCGTTGTACTCTCTCTGTTTCTCGTACTGAAGGCAACGAAGCCAGGCCACCACCAGGCGGTACGCAAGATGGCTGTGTGTCGCTAACGAGTATCCAAAGAGAAACCGGAACGAAAAAAACGAGAAGCCGGGAATAAACGGAACATGCGGCTGCAAGATCCTCGGGCCCGTCCCTGAACGAGAGACCCTGGCCAAAAAGCAGAGATAGGTAAGTCTCATGTTGATTCCCTTTTTATTAAATTCTCTTTTTTTTCTCTTGTTTTTGATTTTATCTATTTTTCTATCTGTATATATTTATTTTCTAACCTTTTCTCTATAGTTTTATCACTTCCCGGTTGTAATCATTCCACCCTGTCCTCTCGTTTTTTAATCTTTCTCCTATTTATCTATCTATCTTCATTTTTTGTGATAGAGAACATAGAAAGAGATTCTAACCTATCTCTCTCTCTCTCTGTCGCGGTTTCTTTAAATGCCATTCCGGGAGAAAAAGAAATAAAAAAAAAGGAGCAGTATTCTTGCGTGAAAAAATTCACGACAATCTTTTTCTCTATCTTTAATATATCTCTTTCTCTTTCTTTTTCATATATGCCGGTAATATGTCTCTCTCTTTCTCTGTATATGTATGTGTATTAGTAAAACGTAAACAAGTTGCAAAAGTATTCCTTCTCTCTCTCTCTCTTTCTCTCTTTTTCTTTCTTTCTTTCTATCTTTTTATCTTTCTTTTTCTCGATGACGTACGTGACTACCTCGTGCCTCGACTTTGCAACGAACGAACCAACGAATGAACGGTTTCTTAAGATGTAATAATACAGTATTATACGTCGTCTTCGTAGTCTATCTCTTTCTCTCTCTCTCTCTCTCTCTCTCTCTCTTAGACACATTGTCATTCCAGGCAACATTTTGGTGTGTGTGTCGCATGTTACGTTTGCATCGTCGTCGTCATCGACGTCGTCGTCGTCGTCGTCGTCGTCGTCGTTGTCGTCGTCGTCGTCGTTGTCGTCGTCGTCGTCGTGGCCACACACTTTTACTCGTGCCAGGCTCCGTTCTGCCGATCGAATCCCAGCGCACAGTATAATCTCTCTCGATTACATGGCAAAAAGTATCTACGTAGACAACACACTGACAGATCCAACGAATGAACGAATGACGTATGGGTGAAGGAAAAAAGAAAGAGAAAAAGATAGAATTGTAGATAGAAGATTATAGATACTAACAAATTTCATTACTAATATATCTTACAATTAGATAGAAATTGTAAAAAAGTAACTACTTCATAAACACATTGCATTTGTTTTATTTTTCTATGAGAAATCAAGAAAATAAATAATGTAGATTAGACTTATTAAATAAACAATGATTAATATGTATATTTAATGTTGAATTGAAAGAAACATGTTGAATTTCTAAGAAATAGAATGATAATAAATAAATGAGTTATAGTTAGGTGTACAGTGGGAGGGAGGGGTGGAACGACTTAGGTGGAAAGAGATGAAGTTAGGCAGAACCTGGGGATCATAGAATTCGTCGATATATATATATGATAGATGGAGAGGAACGAAACTCGTGCAGAGTGCTCAAACACTGTCTCTGGCAGCCGGAAATATCCATCGTCGTACTTTCGATGAGATCGAAACTACGTATGATATTGTACCTGTCTTTTTGGGTTATTTGTGTGTGTATATATATTATGAGATATATGTGGGACTTGAACATTTTACGCGTCGTGTTCTACCATTAAATTATTTATATATAATATGTCAAAAAAAAAAGAAAAAAAAGAAAGAGAGAGAGAGAGAGAGAGAGAAAAAGAAAGAGAAAAGTTAGGAAACTTGTTGAAAAATATATTTGTGCTGTGTGTTTTTAAGATTTCCCAGACGCGAAAAACTTTCCAAAGATATTTTCGTAGAATAAGAAGAAAAAAAATGAAAGGGGTAATTTTATCACGGCATTTATCTTCCTTTTATTTTGTTCGTTCTATCACTTACTTTCTTTTCGAATAATTCAAATATAATATATAATATGCATATAATGCAAAATAATTAATTATGCACAATCATTATATTCCTTTAACACTGACTGCCCTGCCGAATTTTGATGGTCTTCCCGACGGACTTCTCGGTCTCCTCGGTCTCCTCGGTCTCCTCGGTCTCCTCGGTCTCCTCGGTCTCCTAGGTCTCCTGCTGTTCGGCTATTAAAAAATTTTTTATTTAAATACCCTTTGGGACCGCATTATGGGTGCGCACATGTTTTACTACATTGATGGAAGTCACGGTTAGGTAAACCATCAAATAAAAATAAATCAGTTCTCAAAAATATTCCTTTTCCAAGGATTTCTATTAAATTGAGCCTTTTTTTTTTTGTTCTTTCTTTGTACTCTCCATTTCACTGATCTCATTTTTACCTTTCTTTCTCTTCCATCCTTCTTTTCTATCTTTTCTATCTTTTCGAAGAGGATACACAGATTCCATGTCTCCAGTTTAGGTTTTTTTTTTTTCTTAGGATTTCAAAGGAAGAGCCGAAGATATAGAGATAGAGAGATAGAGAAAGAAAGAGAAAAAGAGTGGGTAAGAGATGCTTGTCACGAGAAAAATATATTCAGTATTAGTTTTCATTTTCTTCTTTATGGTCATCGCGGTCTTGGAATGGGAAGAGAGAAACGCAAAAAAGTTTTCTAAACGTGACTGACCCTGTACATGTCGTCATCGTCATCATTATTTTCGTCATTGTCCATTTTACATGTGAACTCTTTGTTTTATACGGAAAAGATCAGAGAATTTACCGAAGATTTAAAAAAAACAACAAACGAATAATCGCCAGCATGTTTTTAACCTAACAACTACAACAACAACAACAACAACAACAACATTGTTATCATCGTCATCGTCAACTTGGTGGTCATCATTGTCATCGTTATCATCATTATCATCATTATATTCATCGTAATCATCATCATCATCATCATCATCGATGAATTCGTCGTGGACAGTTCAACCCTTTGTCGTTATTTGTATTCAACTTCGAAGATTTAACTTGTTGTTCCTCAACTTCGAAGAATCATGATCTCGTGATTGGAAAATACGATATGCATCGTTACGATTTTATTGGACGAACGAATGCTACTTTTCGTAGACGAGGATAGCGTTAGAGACGGATGTGAAAGAATTTTCTTGAGGAACTCAAGTATCTATTCAGAGATAACAGGTTAGTGTGAATAAATTTCTGTTTTGAAGATAACGAATTTCAAGATTTGCTCTGTTTTTTTTTTTTTTTTGTGTAGATTTTAATTGGTTGTTTTTGTAGATGTTAGAACAATGGTTTTCTTAACCTTCGCGAAGTCACGGAATATTTTTGATTAGAAGGAAAATCAAAAGCGAAACATCAAAATCATTAAGATGATTAAGATCATTAAATCAACAAAAAAATCTGCGTAAACCATTTAACTTATATTAATATTGGAAGTTATAGATTATACATTATACATAACATGATATAATACAACATATTTTTTTAACATTTAATTATAGATATTGTAATGATAATAGATAATGATAAAAAAAGAAAATATTAATTTAAAAATATTATATTAGTAAAAAAAAAAATAGAAAAATTTACTAATTAGGTATAATAGTGGAACTTTCATAAAATTTCACGGAATATCGGTTAAGAACCACTGTATTTTTGTTAGAAGAATGTTTACGAATTTTATGGTTTATTATATATTTTTATTTATCATTAGAAATATTTAATTTGTTGTAAAGTTAAATATGTGCCAAAGTTAGATATATTCTAGTTGTCAGTTTATAAGATTTCGTAAATGTTACACGCGTGAAATGAATCCTAAATTGAAAATGATCATTGAACGAAATCAAATCTAAACTATCACCGGTTAGTTTCAATGAATATTTTTCATCGTAGAAATTATTCATTGCGACATTTCAAAATAGGTAAACAACAACCTGTTATGATCTTTCTGATACATACCATTTGTATTTTGTTATACTTTTTGTTGAGAAACGTTTCATTATTCAAAAACATACGAAAACATTAATAATTCAATGTAGTTTGTTTCTGAAATTATTCATTTGACATTGAGTATAGATAAGCATATAAAAATCATTATAGAAACATCATTTTCAAGGCTTTTTTTTTTTCTCATTTATATTTCCCTTCACGTGTAAATTTCTTATTCCACAAGGCTATAAAATATAGAATTATATTTGTAATTTATATATTTGAATGATAATATATTAAAATGTAATTGTCAAAATAAGACGATTAAAATTGAAATTTAAAGAACGATAGAATAATATAGATTAGGAAATCTATGACGAAATAGAAGTTTATCAAGTAAGCAACTACTTACGTAGTCAACATAGCAATCACATTATTCGATGGTCTACTACTAAACTATAATGTTATTCCGTTGATCGTTGTTATGGGGATATAAATTTCACGTAAGATCCTTGCTCTCGTATATTTCGTTTCTCTTCTATCCTTTATATAATTTTATTAGCGTAATATATATAAAATAATATAATATAAAAAAAAATAATATATATATATTTTAGTCATGCTAGTTTGTCAAAAAAAAAAAAAAAGAAAAATATTAAAAGGAATAGAGGGCCGTATATATTATAAGTTTGATAAAATTATGTTAACAATTTCAATATATAAAAAATATCGACTATAAAACGCACGTGCGAATTAATTAAATTACATTAGAGACCAATAAATTTTAATTAGAATATTTTATATTCTTTTTTTCTTTTTTTTTTTTTTCTTTTTTTGTTAGAGACCATATGCGACTTTGTCAAAACGAGGAAAGTAAAATATTTTGTTTTTATTATTTACGAGTACGGGAGAAAATGATTATGATAAAAGAGAATTAATTATTATTTTCGTTCTTTTCTCTCTCTCTCTTACTCTTAATTTACAAAAAGTGTCAGAGAGATAAATTTAAATTCGTCTACGGCTTTGAAGATTAACATTTATCTTGTTTATCCAGCAGGTGAAGAAGTACTTATCGTGTCGTATCTATGACGAGGAATAATAATTAGTCTTGTTAGATTGCAAAATAAATTCAAATTTTACAATTAGTGTTTACAATATTTCGTATTTAATTTATTCAATAATCAATGCTTTTCTTCTTTTTTTTTTTTTTTTTTTCTTTACTTCATTCTACAAACGCGATTTCATTAACACTTTAAT